GCGGGTTCGGGACCCGATGGAGGAAACGCAATCGGAATCTGCGCCCACACGCACAAGCGTCACATTGTCCTCACAGGTCGCGACCCCGCTTCTGGAAAGCTCTGGACCCAGGTCGCGCAAAGCTACCCCAGGAGGATGGCCAACTGTTTCGCTTCTGCAATCATGCGCACCGTCCAGAGCCTGCACCTGGCCCGAGTGCAACAAATGATATCCTTTTAATCGTTTTTGACGGCCTTCGGCCAGTAACCATCTTGGGACTTTGGGTTCCCTCTCCCCTCCCCTCCTGGTCGGTGGTGGTGGTGTGTCCTCCTTCCCGCTCCCTCTCCTCCTCCACTGCCCGCACTCTTTGGCACGAGTCGGTCCGTGTTCAGTGATCTCTCGCCTGGCCTGCGAACACAAAAACGGTCTCTGGCACGGGTAGCGCTCGGGATGGGTGTTCTTGAACTTTAATCCTGGAGCAGAATGAGTGCCGCTGGACAACGACGTCCATCTCGGAGCCGCTTGATAATTTTATCTGTGTGTTCCACCATCTGATAACTTTATCTGCCATCCGCAGCCTTTTCTCTCGCCCGCCCGCCCTCCCCTTTCCCCTCCTGGTCGGTGGTGGTGGTGTGTCCTCCTTCCCGCTCCCTCTCCTCCTCCACTGCCCGCACTCTTTGGCACGAGTCGGTCCGCGTTCAGTGATCTCTCGCCTGGCCTGCGAACACAAAAACGTTCTCTGGCACGGGTGGCGCTCGGGATGATGATGACGACGATCATGATGCGTGTGGTGATGATGATGTTGATGCTGATGCTGCTGATGATGTTGATGCTGATGCTGATGATGGTGGTGGCGGTGGTGATGACGATGCTGAGACTGATGATGCTGATGTTGCTGGTGATGATGATTATGAAGAGGATGAAGATGCTGAACCTGATGCTGTTGATGCTGATGTTGATGGTTATGATGATGATGATGAGTATGACGATGCTGATGTTGGTGGCGGTGGTGATGGCGATGCTGACACTGATGATGCTGATGATGACGGTGGTGATGCTGCTGATGATGATGATGATGAGGAGGAGGAGGAGGAGGATGAAGATGCTGAGCGTGATGCTGATGATGCTGATGTAGATGGTTATGATGATGGTGATGATGGTGTTGTTGATGATGCTGCTGACGATGTCATGATGAGGATGATCATGACGATAACAACGAGCAGGAAAATGAGGAGGAGTGGGAGAAGGCAGAGGAGGATGCGCGGTGCTCCAATACCCCGATCTCGCGCTGGCTTCTGGAGACCAGGTCTGTAAGGCCCCCGCGCCTACGGGAGAGAGGTGGGAGAGGAGATGGAGAGGAGCAGGACGGAGGAGGAAGGGGCGCTACCGGACGCCGAGGTCGGGAAAAAACCGCTTGGCAGAGGAATGGTTCATCGGTTGATGCCGCACCGCCGATCACTGAGCGCCTCTCTTCCAGGGGGGGTTGTCGTAGAAGCGTCTGTGACGCCGTGTGCCGAAGAGAAACCCAAAACCGCGCTCAAGACGAACCCAACGGGTCGTTTTGGGGTCCTCGTGGGGGCCCCTTGAGGGCCTCCTGAGGGCCCCTTGGGGGCCTCTAGGGATCCTTCTTGGGAGCCATCTTGTGTGGGGGGATGCTCCCCGGCCCCTTTCGAGTTACCCCTCCTAGTGGGGCCCTCTGGGCCGACCTTGTTGGGCCGTCTTGCCGCGCTGTTGGGGGCCTGTTGGGCAGGCGAGTCCGTCAGTGAGTTGCTATTGCCGCCCCCGTGGTGGTCATCCTGGGGCTCAACTGGTGAGAGCACGTGCGTGCAAGCAGTCATAGGTTCACATGCTGTCCACCACCTGCTACCGAACCCGAAACGCTCACGTCGTGCTTTCCTCGCTTCGGGAAGCACATGTAAGTGTGAACAGTGGTTCCCAGGCGCTTTCCATTCGACTTCAACTCTCACAGGTGTTCGCTGCTGGCGGCCCCTTGGGCGTACGCGAGTATCAGCAGCCATCAATCGATGCACCCTTCGCTTTGCGCTTAGGGGGCTGCAGCATGCTGCTCGCTCTCGGCGCGCTTCGTCCTCGGCGGGAGCCGACGGGCGGCGGAAGACCGGGGGAAGCTGCGGGGGTAAGGCGGGCCCGTGGGCGGAAGCCTGGCGGAAGGCGGCGAGAGCGAAGGTGAGACGCCAACGCTTGTGGGGTTCAGAGGTTCTTGGATCGGACATTGACATTCAAGCTTCGCCGCCTTGCTTGTGCGAGCGCCACAGCGGCCACGGGGGCGCGGCAGTTCTGCGCGCGACACGCGCTGTGAGAGCTTCCAGGGCGGAGCGAGTGCAGGATCAAGTCCAACGACAGGGGAGGGCTGGCCCAGTGCGACAGCATCGACCCCCAATCGCCCGGCTGGGACCAGCCGCGGCTAGCGAAGCCCCCCCAGCTCCCGTGCACGGAATGGCGTCGGGAATGGCGTCCCCCCATCTCAGAGCGAAGCTTGAGCGAGCTCAAGTCCACGCTCTCAGAAACGCACACGCCGGATCGGCGGATATATGCATGTGTACAATCATGTTCCCCATGATCCCTCGTAGGCCTAGTACTTTTTCACAACTGGACTCCCCGGTGTGTCCAAGAAGATTTGCCTCTCGCATGTTAGAGCTCGGAGATGCAGCGTGCGGGGCCAGTGTCGTCTGAGACGTCCTCGCACTTATTGGCTCCATCCCTAGGCTCCAGCAGGACCTGACCTGAGGTGGTCTAGTCAGGTTCGTCTTCGGCATGCCGCGCACACGGTGATCCAGCCAGTTTCGTTTGAGAATTCATCTTGTTTCTTGGCGCGGAGATGTCGTATGATTCATCTTCGCAACTACGCACCCAGTTGCCCTCATCTCAGGTTGTTCGGCCAGTTTCGCTTGAGACATCCTCGCAATTGTGGGCTCCGAATTACCTCTCGCGAGGTGGTCTGGCCCGTGTCGCCAGAGACATTCTCGCAATTCTGGGCTCGGAGATGCAGCGGGAGAGCTGGCCCAACCAGTTTCGTCTGAGACATCGTCGCAACTCTGGGTTCCGAGATGCCTCTCGCGAGAGGTGGTCTAGCTTGCTCCGCCTGCGATCCTCGCAACTATGGGATCAGCGACGCCGCGCGCGATGTGGTCTGGCCAGTTTCGTTTGAGACATTCCTCGCACGTCTGGTTTCCGAGCTGCCTCGCGCGAGGCGGTCCGGCCAGTTTCGCTAGTGGGGCTGACAGGGTTGCCAGGAGGCATGCAAGGAAGCTCACTCAAAGCGTCGGCGCACGTTGCCTTGCCCACGTTGTGCCCCAATTCGGATTGTTCGAGAGGGCAAGCCTCTACTACACTTGCCGAGAAGTTTCGTGCACGCGGCATCGCTTGCCCCAGGCCGACAGGCCGCATGCCCACGGAAAGTAGAGCGTGGGATTGCATGATCGGGTTCCCGCCAGGCCAGCGGTCAAACCGAAGCTCGGGCGCTGCAAGCAGTCCTGGGGGATGCACGCGTGAGCGAGTTGGTCGCCGTTTAAATTACATATGGTCTAGTCAGGATGGGTCTTGCTCTTGATTTATCCCCTCCTCCTTGGCCTCGCTCCCTCGGGTCCTCCGCCTCCTCCTCTTCTCGGCGGCACGCGAAACACCCTCTCGACGCTGTCATTCTATCTTCACAAGACTATGTTGCTGGGTCGCCGCTCGGTGCCGTGCGCGTGTACAGTACGTTCCCAGACAGCGTTGTCGGCCAGAGGTCTGTTGAGCGTTGTCATCCGTGCCTTCAAGGATTCCTCCTGTACCGCTGCCCGCAATGGGATTGCGCTGTGGAAGACACATCTGAGCTGGTACCAGATTGTGTTTCACCCTCTTCTCGGCCGCCGGAGCTGGCGGCCGAGTTGAATGCTTTGGTGCGGTACTACTGTGTTTCACCCGCGTGCGCCCTTGGTGAGGACTCTTACTGAAGAGGCGTGTGATGGCGGCGGCTGTTGCTTCGGCGGCGGCGCGCGGTGGGTTCGGAGAGGCCGCGCGAGAGGTTGTCTGGCAATTTCCGCCTGCGACATGCTCGCAACGAAAAACTCCGAGATGCTGGGTGTGAGGTTGTCCAGCCACTCCCGCCTGGGACACCCTCGCACCTCTGGGTTCGGAGATGCCGCGCGCCAGGTTGCCCAGCCAGTTTCGCCTGAAACAGTCCTCGCTTCTCTCGGTTCCGAGAAGACGCGCACGAGCTTGTCCAGCCAGTCTTGCTCGCTGCTTTCGCAACTCCGATATGCCTTGACCTGAAGTGGCCCAGCCAGCGTGGCATGAGGCATCCTCGCAACTATGGTTTCTGAGATGCCGCCCGCGACGTTTTCAAGCCGGTTTCGCTCGAGACGTCCTCGCAGCTCTGGGCTCCAATATGCCCAGGCCAGAGGTGGTGCGGACCGGTCGTTTTGAAGCATTGGCAGATGCCGCGCGAGAGCCGGTGTGGCTATTCTCGCTGGAGACGTCTTCGAAGTTCTGGGCCCAGAGATGGTGCATGCGAAGGTGTCCAGCAAGTTCCTCCCGAGATATCCTCGCAACTCTGGGCTCCTGTGCTCTGGCCTGCGGAGGTCCAGCCAGGTTCGGCTGCGACGTGCAGCGCATGATGTTATCCAGCCCATTTTCGCCGAAGACATCCTCGCACTTCTGGGCTCAGAGATGCCGCGCGAGAGGTGGGACGGCTAGTTTCGCCTGCGACGACGTCGCAACTCTAGGCTCCGAGATGCTGCGTACGAGATTGTCCAGTCAGGCTCGCATGAGATATATGCTCGCAACTCTGGGCTCAGTGATACCGCGCACGAGGTTGTCCAGGCAGTTTTGCATTACAGTCGGGGCGCTGAAGAAGGAACCCCTCTCGTTTGGGAGGGGCTCCTTGTTCCTTCATTGTGTCACAGTTTGCCTTAGGAAATCAAAGCTCCACTTATGGAAAAAAGGGGCCTCGTTCCTTGTTTAGGGTTCCTTGGGTCAACGGCCCGACTGTAGACATCCTCGCAACATACTGGACCCCTCGCAGCTTCCTGGGCTCGCAGTTTCCTGGGCTCAAGCTTCTGGGGCTCCCCAAAGGCATTCCCAGTGGAAACGGGGACAGGCCTTAAGTCGGGCTTGTCCCTCTACAGGAGGAGTATTCCAAAGTTGTCCAAAAACAGTATGGGGACACTTTTTTCATTTCTGAAAATTCCTGGGCATTGTTTGAATATTCTGTCATTTTCCATCCGAAAGCCGCATGTAGGGGGACATGCCCGACCTAAGACAGGCCCAGCGAGACTGGCGCGCGATGGGCGAGCGGTGGTCAGGCTGCGTCCCGTGGCTGGCCAGATGGAGCGGGAGCCCGTGGGCTCCGGGCTGCGCGCGGGGTGCCGAGTGCGAGGAGCTCTTGCTTGGAGGGTTTCTCCGAAGGGCTTAGGCGACCCGTCCTCCTCCTCCTCCTCCTCCTCCTCCTTCTCCTCCTCCTCCTCCTCCTCCTCCTCCTCCCTCTCCTCCTCCTCCCTCCTCCCTCCTCCTCCTCCCTCCTCCTCCTCCTCCTCCTCCTCCTCCTCCTCCTCTTCCTCCTTCTCCTCCTCCTCCTCCTCCTCCTCCTCCTCCTCCTCCTCCTCCTGCCTCGGTGCCCGCACTTCTTGGCACGGAAAGGTTGGCAGGCCGCTGGATTATATCCGTTGCTCTAGGCTCAAAATCAGCGGCAGAGCGCATGCCCTTCTTCACATTTGTCAGTATCGCTTCCTGGGTTGCCTCTCAGTGGGGCGCGATAGGGCCCGTGCTGGGCGCGGCCAGCCAGTGCGCCTTCGCGGCCAACCTGCCAGGGGGTCTGCCTGGCCTGGTGGTGGCCATCGGCGGCGTGGGCTCCCTGCTTGGGTACAGCTGCGCGGCCATCGATGGCTGCCCGTGTGCTCAGCGGGCTCGAGACCGGGCGGCGGGTCTGCGTGCTCTGGAACGACGGGGCAGACTGGCAGGTGAGGGTGCTGCTCACGCCCGCGAGCGCGGGCGACCTCGAGGAGGTGATGGGTATCAGCGTCATAGTCATCGACGATCCCGAGATCCAGAGCCTGATATGGTACGCCCTCAGCCCCGACGGCGACACCTACCCTCACCTCCTCGCAGCGCCTCCTCTGGCCGGTCTGTGCCTCGCCGATTCGATGGACCAGTTCGACCCGTCCTTGGGCGAAGGCAGACGATGGTCCCGGCGCTTGAGGACTTACGGGGAGGACTGGGCGCCCACGCCGCTCGAGCTCAGCCGGGCCATTCGCTCCGCCGTGATGGGCGATTCCGACGGCTCAGCCCCCGCCCACTGCATGGTTGGGAGGAAGCGGCTGCCAGCGAGCGGAGTGAAGGCTCTGACAGTGGCGACGGACGCTGCCCCGCTGGTCTGGCAGGTGATCTGCGCGTCGGACGGTGCCCTCGGCCCCCAGACGCTGGAGGACTACCGGGTCGACAGCTGGGCCACCATCGGCGAGTTCGGGGTGGCCAAGGTCGGGGGTCGGATATTCTTCTTCCGCGCGGTGGACAAGAAGACGGCCTCGGAGGGGGGCGCCGGCCTCGACGCCAGGGTGATGCCCTTTGCTGGAGAACCACTCTGGCGAACGGAAGCGGGCGTTCCGCGACGCGGTGAAGCTGCTGCAGGAGTCACAGTGGAGTCACTGGCCAGTCCGCGGACCGAGGACGGTCAAATGGTGCCTGGAGTTCCTCGGGGCTCGAGCAGGACATGCACCCGAGGGCCCGCCACGCCATGTGGAAGGCGGAGCGCCGCCTTCAGAGCGGCGATGTGGGCGTGTCGGACCACGAGCTGGCGATGAGGATGTTCGGGGTGGCGGTGGTGTACGACCAGCTCATGGTCTCGGAGCTGGCCTGCTTCGAGTACCTCGCTCGGCGGGCCCAGATGGCGGAGTGGAGACACCGCCATTTGGTGGCGGGCGGGGGCTCCGAGGTCGACGCGGTGGAGGACGAGTACCTCTACGTGGGGGCGGCGGAGACGCGCGGGCTGCTCATGGTGGCCCCCGAGCTGCAGCGGCACATCACAGAGGAGCTTCACAAGGAGGCGGCCATCCTCAAGGAGCGGCGCAAGCTGCGGGAGGAGAGAGCCACCGCACGCGGGCCTGGCGGCGGCGCCCTTGGCAGCGGCGGTGCGCCTGCCGCCCTGGGGAGCAAGATCAAGAACCAAGCGGACGAGATCAAGCGCTTGCAGGCGCGCCTTGGCGACCAGACGGGCGCGGCAGAGCTCGGCGGCGGCAGAGGCGGCGGCCGCGGGCGCGGAGGCAAATGATGAGCGTTGCTCGGGAGCTCTTGCCGGTGGGGGCTCTCCGAGACGGCGGCGCAGCGAGGGCTACCCGCTGCTGTCGCGCCGTGCGCTTGAGACACCGGCAGGCCGAGTGCGCCCGCGACTGGGGCTGCGAGGTCCACGAGGCGCTGAACGGCCTCTACTCTCACGGCGCGCCAAAGGGCGACCAGTTTTTGTCAAGTGCGCAGGCGGCCGGCGTGCAGCACGTGAAGGGCGTGATCTCGTCCATCGGCCCTCCCTGCATTGCCCCCGCGGCAGCCTTCATTGAGCTGTGCGGGCACGCTCCCGGCTACGCCCAGTTGCCGGAGATTCGCGCGCCCTTCCAGCGGGACCTCGTCTCGCTCCCCCGCGGGGACCACGCCCTCTGCGACGGCTTATCGCTCCTGGAGGGTGTTGCACGTGATGAATGGATGGTTTGGGAGGACCGGCTAACGCGCCCGGTTTCGGACATGCACCGGGGGCGGGTCAAGCCATGCAATGACCCGAAATTGGTCCGATCGCAGGCCACCCTGGCTTCTTTCCTGCTCGACCTCTATGACTCCAACCTCTTGTACTTCGGGCCGGATGAGCCGGCCACAGTTGGGGTGTTCTTCGCGCTGAAGTCCGACAAAGTTCGGCAACGCTTGATATTCGACGACAGGGCGGTGAATCACGACTTCGCCGACCCGGGCTACACGCGGCTCCCCGCCGCGGGGGCCTGGAACGGCTTCGCGCCGGGGCCAGACGACAAGCTCTTCCTGTCTCAGGTCGACGTCGACAACGCGTTCTACAGGATCCTGCTGCCGCCCTGGCTGAGCCGGCGCTTCGCGCTGCCGGTGGTCAGCCGGCGGGCCTTGCTCGCGGCGCGCCCGGGGCTCGCGCTCCCGGAGGAGGGCAAGATCTCGGGCTTCCTCCGCGCGCTGCCGATGGGGTGGACATGGAGCTGGTACTTCTGCCAGTCCATGGTGGAGACTGCCGCGCGGCGGTCGGGGTTCCCCGACGGCCGCCTGGTGAGGGATCGCCACACCACTCCGGACGTCCGCGCTGGGGAGGTTGCCGCCGTGTGCGTCGACGGCGCGGCGATCTTCGGCACGGGCCCCGACATGGTCGACCAGCGCTGCCAGGACGTGGCGCGCTGCTTGCAGGACCACGGGCTGATCTGCAAGGACGTGGAGCGCTCGGGGGGCTTGCAGAAGTTCACAGGCCTCCACTTCGACGTGGAGAGTGGCAAGATCTCCTTGGGCCGCGAGCGGCTCTGGCGGCTCCGGCTCGGATTGCTGTGCGCGGCCGACCAGCGGCACATCGCGGGGGACGACCTGCGCCGCTTGGTGGGCCACTTCGCGTGGGCGGCGCTGGTGCGCCGCGAGCTGCCGGCGATCTTTGACAGTGTCTACCGCTTCGCCGACCGCGCTGGCAGCCGCCGGTGGCGGATGTGGCCCAGCGTCGAGCTCGAGCTGCGCCGGGCGGCCGCCTTGGTCTGCTTTTGCTTCGTGGACCCGAAGAGGCCCCTGGCGCCGGACATCTACGCCACCGACGCCTTGGGGGGCTCAGGCACCGACGCCGGCGGGCACGGCGTCATGGGCCGGGGCTGCGAGGCGGACGTGGTCCAGCGCCTGGCGTGCCAGGCCGAGCGCTGGAGGTGCAACGTCATGGGCGCCATCACCGCCTGGCGCCACATGCTGGGCGTGGAGGCTCCGCGGGCGTGCGGCAGCCGCGTCGCTAGGAGAGGGGGCTCTGACTTCCTGGCGGCGACGGCCGCGGACATCGGCGCCTTCGACGACTCGGGCCTGAAGGTGAAGGGCCGGTGGCGTCTCCAGGACAACATCATGGGGACGGAGGGCCGCGCTGTCATCCTGGCGGTGAGGCACCACTTGAGGCGGGTCTCTGCTCAGTGCCATCGCCTCGTTGTACTGCGCGATTACCTGTCCGTCGTGCTTGCGCTCGGCGAAGGAAGGTCCTCCTCGCATCACCTTCTGCGCGCCTGCAGAGAGATGCTTGCGCTCAGTCTCTTGGGAAATTTGGTTGTGACCGTGAGATGGATTGCCTCGGAGCTCAACCCGCCCGACCGGCCGTCTCGGCTCAAGTCCGCGATCACCAACGACGCCCGCCTCGACCCGCGCAGCGCCTGGTGCGATGCTGAGGCGGCCGCCCACTGGGCCGCCGAGCGCCCGGACCAGGCAGTCGACGAGCTCTTCAGGGACGAGGTCGGCGACGTCCACGGGCTGGGAGGGCTCGGGGATTGCTTCCTCGCGGATTCTACGCCTCGAGGCTCCGCCTCGACCGCCGCCGGCAGTGCGGGCGCTGCCCTCAGCTGGGAGGACTCGGACACTGACGACGAACCAGTTGAGCTGGCTGAATGCGCGGGCGCAGGGGGGCACCACGCCCAACCTCGCGGCCGCGGAGAGGCAGGCGCAGGGGCGGGCGCGGCGCCGCCAGGCGGCGGCTGGGCGGCGGCCGCCACGGCCGCCGGGCACGACCTTCCTGGAGGCTGCGAGGGTGTCCGACAGGCAGGCACGGACGTATGCCTCGCTCCACCAGGCTTTCTTGGAGTGGGCCCGCCGCCTGGGCTGGGCCACTCAGACGACAAGCGAGCCCGACATAGCGCTCGCCAGGTAACTCGACATGCTGTACTTCGGGGGCTTCAGCCAGTCGCGCGGTCAGAAGACCGTCGCTGCTCTACGCTACTACCGGCCCGAGTGCGAGCTCAACGGGCCTCGCGGACTCGCGCGCACGCGGGCCGCGCTGAGCGGCTTCCGCCGCCGAGCGCCCGGCGGGGCGCGCCGGCCGCTGCCCCGCCCGGCCTACTTGGCCATCCTCGGGGCAGCGCTGCACCTCCGCCTGAAGGAGTTCGCGGTCGCCCTCGTGATCGCGTGGGACGGGTTCTTGCGCCTGCCGACCGACATCGTCGAGATGGTGGGAGGCAGCCTGGTCGCTCCGAGCCCCTCCGCCAGCGTCGTGGCGCGGGGGCTACTGCTCTTCCCGTCCGAGGCCGCGCGGCCGAGCAAGGTCGGCCACTTCGACGGGGGGACGCTGCTCAGGGGGCGAGAGACCAGCCTGCTGGACGCGCCCCTCCACGCGCTCAAGAGGGTTCGACGCCGTCAGGCCACCTGTGGAGCTTCGACTCGGCCGATTTCCGGAGGCTGTTGGCTCGGTGCGCAACGCTCGCCAACCTGGGGCACATGAAGCCCTGCCAGCTGCGGCACGGCGCGGCGTCCCACGCCGCGCTGGAGGGCGAGCTCGCACCCGACCAGATCCAGGAAAGGCTCCGGCACCTGCAGGCCACCAGCACTCGGAGGTACCAGTGGCACACGCGCTACCTCGCCGAGTTGTCGCGGCTCGAGCCCCCCCTGCTGCAGTGCGCCAAGGACGTCGAGACGCGGCTCCTCAAATAACTACTTGCGAGGGGGGCCGGCGCCCCCAGGGGCAAGGCAGGCGGCCTGGAGATCGGCGCCGTGTGGCGCGCTGGGGACACCCTCGGCTTGCGCGAGGGCGCTGGCTCGGCACGCAGCCGGTCGGCCGCCGTCTCCGAAGCTTTGCGACATGCCCTGAAACAGGGGCGATCACACGCAATGGCCTAATTAGATTTTTGTGCAGGCGCCGACGCCGTCGGTAGATGGCTTCGCCGGCACGCGGCACACAACGTCCTTCGACTGGATTTAAAAGACAATCCCGACTTCGACCTCAGCTGCGCAGCGGTCTGTAAGACTCTTTGTGGCTGGATCGGGTCGCGGCATGTCCGCGGCCTTTTCATAGCTTTCCCTTGCAGCACCTGGTCGAGAGCCAGCCGTGGCCGCTACCGCTCTGCATCCTGCATGCACGGCTGGCCCGACCTCGACCCCGTCGCTTTGCGAAATTGTCTCTATGGGAATCGCACTCTCCTCACTACAGTGCGCCTCGTCCGAGCTGCTGTGCGGGTGGGGGTGCCAGTGATCGTCGGGAACCCCCATGCTAGTATGACCTGGCTGGAACCCAGCCTCGCATCTCTTATGCGCCTCAGCAGCTGCGCAACAACAGTTTGCGACTTCTGCCAATTCGGCATGCCCTGGAGGAAAAGGACTCGCCTTGCCGGCTGGAACGTGGCCCTCCCGCCCGCCGACCTCCATCGGACTTGCGGGGGGAAGTGCGGGATCTGTTCTCGGACCGGCCGACGGCACATCGTCCTCGAGGGACGACAGGCCGGTTTCGGCCAGATGACAGCCGCCGCCGAAGCTTATCCAGCCAAGTTCGCCGCGGCCGCCGTTCGATGGCTTCGCGACTCCGCGAACGCCATCGAGACTGCCCGCCTCAACCAGCTAATCGTCTAGCCAGCTCACGCACCTCCCTTCCAGGCACCGTTTTTGCATTGCAGAATGTTTGGGGCATGCGGCTTTGCCAGTACTCTTGTAAGGGAATTCGGGATGTTGCACGCCTCGGTCCGAGGCTTCTCAGTGCATTGCTGTTGCGAAGCTCTGGTCTGCCCACACAGAAACATGAACATCATCACTCTGGCCAGTCCTCCCCGTGCCTGCCTCGGTGCCCGCACTTCTTGGCACGGGAAGGTTGGCAGGCCGCTGGATGATATCCGTTGCTCTAGGCTCCACCTCCTCCCCTCCTGCCTCCTTGTATAATATTGAATTGAAGCCGGGATGTTGTACGCCTCGGTCCGAGGCTTCTCAGTGCATTGCTGTTGCGAAGCTCTGGTCTGCCCACGCAGAAACATGAACATCGTCACTCTGGCCGGTCCTCCCCGTGCCTCCTCCTCCTCCTCCTCCTCCTCCTCCTCCTCCTCCTCCCTTCTCCTCCTCCTCCTCCCCTCTCCTCCTCCTCCTCCTCCTCCTCCTCCTCCTCCTCCTCCTCCATCGAGCAGTTGCGAAACGTCCTGGCTTGCCTATTGGCCCACCAAAGAATGTTCTAAGAACCTTCTATGGTGTGCACGAAATGTTCTTATAACATTTCTGGCTGAAGCTGTCTTGTTCTAACTCATCGGGGTTATGTTATAAGAACGTTGGTCTTGCTGTTAGAACATATGTGGGTTCTAAGAAGATTTCGTGGTAGGCCTATAGGAATGCCGGGACGTTCGGTCTCTGCTCAAGAGGAGCTCTCGCCCACGCGTCGCATCACGCCGACATCGCTGGACGAGTCGATCTCTCGTTTGGCCGCGGGAGTTCGGGACTGGCGGCCGGCTGGCCGCTTCACCTTCGTGCGCACGCTGCAGAGCGCGCCCCGGAACCACGGGCGCGTGGACGCTTGGCAGGATGCGCTGCAGGTTGGAGGATTCGTGGCCGTCAAGCGCATGCCGAGGTGGTGGATCGGGTCGGGGCCGGAGGACTTCTGCCGCAGGCGCCCGGGCGAGTTGGAGCGTCCTTGGCACGACCTCGGCGTGGTGAGGGAACTCGGTCGCAGGCGGTACCCGTACGCGTGCCGCCTGGAGGGGATCTTCGAGGACGAGACGCACGTGTACGCCATGACGGCGCTGGCGACTCATGGCGACCTGCTTGATTGGTCTTGCGGGCTCCCTGCGGACCCCGCCCTCAGGGAGCTGGAGGTGGCCCCCGTTGCGGCCCAGCTGTGCGTGGCCGTGCGGCAACTGCACGAGCTCGGGCTGGCGCACTGCGATATATCCTTAGAGAACGTGGTCCTCTCAGCCGGTCCCCAGCCGGGCACGCCCCTGCAGCTGAAGCTGATCGACTTCGGCATGTCCGCGCTCGGGCGCATCCAGAGGGACGTGGCCCTGGGCAAGAGGAGCTACTGCGCCCCCGAGGTGTGGCGCGGCGGTCCGGTGGACGCCTTCCTGGCGGACGCCTTCTCGGTAGGCGTCGCGCTGTTCTGCCTGGCGGCCGGGGTGTACCCCTGGCCCGACACGAGACCCGGGGCTTCGCGCGCGCTCGAGCACGCCAAGCGCGTGGGCATGGAGGCACATCTGGCTGCCCGGCGCGCCCGGGGCGACGGGGCCCTGCCGGGGCTCTCGCGGCAGCTGGAGGCGCTCCTCGCCGGGTTGCTCGAGCCTGACCCGGCCTCACGCATGTGCCTGGGCGAGTCCTGCTACCTGTCGCGGCGGCCCTTCAACCGCCTGCGGTAGTTTCGTGTCGTGTCGACTGGCGGCGACCCCGCTAGCGGCGTTCAACGTCGAACGCCGCGGGCGACCCAGAATCGTGCGATGTGGAACGATTTGGACGTTTCGGAAACGGCCGATCGTTCAAGGTTGAACGATCCCCGAGGTATCAGGAACCAACGCCGAAGTCGATGCGACACGAGCCTGCCGTGCTCGCCCGAGCCTGCTTGCCCGCGCCGCCCGCCCTCCGCCGCTCCGCCTTCGGCTGCGAATGGCTCCGCGCCGCCGCGGGCGCCCCGCCCTGCCAGGCCCGCGCTGGCGCCGCCCCCGAGGCGCCGGCGAGGGCGGCGATGGCGGAGGGCGGCGGGCACGGCGGATGCCGAGAGGCGTCGGCCAGCACGTCGGCAGGCACGGGCGCCACGGCGGAGAGCCTTCCGGCGTCGAGGGGTGCCTCCTGCGGTAGCGCCTCCGGCGCGGCGGGGGTCGGCAACGGCGAGCTTCTCCTGCGCTGCAGTGGCGAGTCACGGGCGCCACGGGCGAGGTGAAGCGAGCTTGCGGATGGAATTTCCAGATGGTGGCTTTTCGCAGATGCATCGTGGAAGCGTAAGACTCGAGTACGCCGGAGAACTCGTGTTTGCCGACGTTTTGTTGACGAGTCCGGTCCCAAATTTTGACGGTCCAGTTTTCGTGGGATGTTTGCAGCGGGAGGTCGCGTCAAATTTCAGGCTGGGCCTCGTCATTTCTATGATGGCCCCGTCAGGCCAACCCAAGTCCCCCGTACCCCAGTCTTACGTCTCCCCGAATGCAGCGAGTTTACAGGTGGAGCGAGTTTACAAATTGGGGCGTGCCACATCGCCGAGAGTTTTCGGCATCGAGCGCTGCGGCTTACCAGAGGTGCTGCGGTTCCAGATCTTGCCAGGGAGCTCTCGGTTTCTGTCAGTATGCTGTTCTTTCGTTTCCAGCCGCTGCAGCCACAGTACTGGCGCTGTGCGCTTTCCCAGCTGCTGCGGTGCAGCATGCCGCTGAACCCTTTTGCCAGAGTAGGGGGTCAATGCGCCCTGCGTCTCTAGATTTCGGTTGTCTCTCGCAAGCGTCGTTGAGGCAATGGAAAGCGCGGATAGGGGCGGAACTCAACTCCTTGAGCAGAGCGCGACCCTGCACAAGCAGCCGTCGGGCATTGCTCTTGCGCTAGACTTCCTTGCAGGGCAAGGCATCCATTTGCTTCTTGACTGCCCAGGCCATGAATGTTTCGCGCAGACCGCGGGTCTCAGCTGAGAGTGTACGGACACCAGGCACATTTCCAGATCTTACAGCTCCGGGAGATTTTGCACTGGCCGGCCTCAGCTTCTGATGACAATGCGGTCTTTCAGAAGCCACGCGCTGCGGTGGTGCAGTCGTTGCCAACTATCATCAGCAGCGCGCTACCACTGACAGCATGACCAAAACATAAATTAGCCTGGCGAAGGACCCAACCATATGCAGTTGTGGATACCGCAATTGTGAATACCATCTTCGCCCGCGCTCCCTATGTGGCCACGGCTTCCCGCCGGAGCCCGACATGCTCAGGGACACGTTCGTGGCCGTCTTCGCGGGCGCCGACGACGACAAAGACGGCGTCTCTTTCAACGAGGAGCAGAAGCACTTGTGCTAGGGCCACCCCCTGATGGTGCGCAAGGGTGTGTTCACGCTGTTGACGTGCTGGTTTATCTCCGAAGATGGAATTTCATGGTACAGTTCAGAATCCGCGGAGGCGATCGGCACAAGCGAACACGACCAACGGTCCTACCACTCTCCCTTCGTGTACAGCAGTCCGTATCCATGTGTCTGGCGAACATGGACGTATATCTCAGCCAGCCGATGCCGCATGCAGGCCTCCATGGGTTTCCCAGGTATCCCGAGGGAGAGCCCTGAGACTGCGGCGCAAGTGGCACGCTTGCAATTCACCGACGAATCCCCAGCAGATCAAGCTTGGCGCCCTCAACGCCAACGGCATGTCTTGGGGAACATCAGAGGCCAGATCCAAACTGGCACATATTGTGGAGAGGCTCAGAGTAGAGAAGTGTCATATCTTTCTGATCAGCGATTTGACAAATCCGAGTTGGTTGTACCAAGATACCCCTCAGCCAGTTATTGTAGCAGTGGAAGAATATACTTTGTTCGTGTGTGGCAAAATTGGAATCATTATGTCGCGGTATATGGTAGAAAAATGGCGTGCTGCTGGTTCCGAGCTATGTACTATTCCAGAGACGGACAGATGGATTGGTATGAGAATATGTATGCGTGGGTTCTATTCTGTTATCATAGCGCAGTATACGCCGCAACAGAAGCCAGCTTGGGGTTTGAATCGGCGTGCCAGACATTTTCAGGATGGCGCACCGTTGATCAGCCGACTGCGGCGGTCGGGAGATCACGTCATCATGGGAGGCGAATTCAATTCTCACATGGGCCAGGGGGACAGGTTGTGCGGGTTCCTAGGCAAGTGCACCAACCGCACGGCCACCTCGAAGATGAGCCACCAGCTTCAGGAGTTCGGAGACGAGCAAGGCTTGCTCCACGTGGACTCACGGCTCCCCCTGGCCCATCGGGGTACGTTCTATCACGACGTGGCAAAGACTTGGTACGAGCTCGACGTTTTCTTATCTTCGTTTGGCACGCCATCCAGATGGCGAAACTTGAGGGCGGTCTCATTTGCCCTGTGCGACCACCGAGGCAAGTTCGCATCATTCTTACCTTTCGGGCGCATGACGAAGCAGGAGCTTCAACATGTCAGAGATCCGAGCCTTGCCGTCCCCCGTCATCCAGCATTGCGGTCTCAAGCCCGCGGGGCCGGAGACGAAGCGGCGGAGCTTCGGCAGAAGTGCCGCCAGCACCTCATCGACGGCAGGAACAACGGTGCGACGGGGGCGGCATGGCGAGATGTGTCAACTATCTTTCTCACAGCAGCGGAGGCGGCCTGCGGCCGCGGTCAGAAGCAACGCGGCATGCCGGCGCTGGCGAAGTGCAAACCCGATGTGCTCAAGAGCAAGCAGAGAGTTGCCGACAGCTGCGCGGAGTACTTCTCGGCCAGAGGCACCCCCGCCGAGCGGCAGGCGCTCGTCAACTATCGTGTTGCGAAGAAAGTGGAGAGACAGCTCGATCGCGATTTGAAAGGCAAGGCTATCACCAGCTTATGCCAGCAGCTCGAGTGGGCGGTGACCAACCACGAGATGGGCAAATCTGATTCTTTGTTGCGAGAGCTGGGCGTGTACATCAGTTACGATTGGATCAAAGATGCGGAGCAAGTCAAACCAGACGAATGCCGAGAACATTTCCAGAGGATCAGCGGCACGACTGCAACTCCGACAGTCGATGTTTCCAGCGATCTGATCCAGAGGCCTGTGTATACATCCTTGGACGACAGCCCTACGTTCGAGGAGTTTTTGATCACTATCACGGGTATGGGGATTTCAGCTGCAGGCAAAGACGAGGTCCCGATCGACATGATCCGACAGGCCCCAGTCGAGGAGCAGAGGGCCGTCTACGACTTGATCGGCAGGACGTGGTCGGAGGCGAGCTTGGACGGCCCTCAGCCTCACTGGGATATATCTGCACACGAAGCGATTGTTCTTATGTTGCACAATAAAAAGGGAGCGAGGACAGACTTGAACAATTATCGAGGGACATGTTCGCTCAGTATGATTACTCGTATGTTGGCTCGCTGGGCTGTCAGGCGAGTGGAGAAGTACCTCGAGGGTCTGTCCTTCTTCGAGAAAGAACAGCGGGGCTTCAGGCGTGGGCGATCCACCAGGGATGTTATTTATATCGCACGTATCATATACGAGCTGTATGCCGATTGGGGGAGATTCTTATTAGATCAACGGTCCAAGTACCAAACTGCGGGTACGTGGGGCAAACACCAGGCAGCCTTGACAGCATCTTATCAGAATTTTCAGAGCAGACAGGCAGTATTGTACTTAGCTGACATTCAAAAAACATATCCGATTGTTCCCAGAGAGCCTCTGTGGCGCGCTTTGCTGAAAGAGGGGCCCCCGCAGAATATTGCATCGATCTTCAGACGATTGCACGGCGAGACGAGTTTCCAAGTGAGGTTGCATTTCGGCGAGTCGGATCCATATCCTTTGTGCCGTGGCTTGAGAGAAGGATGTGCCAGCTCTTGCACTCTTTTCAACTGCTATCACAACTATGCTTTGCGTGTTTTGAAGGAGGTCTTGCCGGGCATAGGCCTCAAGACGACTCCGTCTCTACAGTGCTCGCTTTGGCGAGGAACCAACTGGCGCAACGACGAGGCCACGACTCCCGTGGATTTCAAAGTCATGGGCTTCGCCGACGACACCTCCGCATGGACCGCCGCGCCGCAGTTTCAGGAGACGGTGAGCCTAGTCGGGAAAGTACTCGGGGACCGAGGCGAGAAGGTCCATCCTGGGAAGGACGAGTACATGAGAGCAGGTGTATACGACGTCTCACAATCTCTCCCTGCTGGCTTTCACCACTCTGTTCGAGTACTAGGTGGGTGGGTAGATACGGACGGGGGATCGAGAACAGACACATCGAAACGGATACAAGCAGCATCCAAGGTTTGGGTGAAACTACGATATCAGCTTGGGGCGTCCAAATTGCCTTTCAAAATTCAGGGCCAAATATTACGGGCGTCAGTAATTGGGTGTCTATTATACGGGGCGGAGGTCCGAGCGTTCCACCTGAAAGACATCGATCGATACCAAACATTCGTAGGCCGATGTATTCGACATCTTGCATGCCGAGCTCGTGGAACCACCCTTCGTATCATGGAAGAAACACACATTACCATGGACGTAGTGCATGGGTGGTTCGGCCTGGGCCTCGTCGAGACCCAGATCATCATCAGAGCCCTGTCGTACTTAGGCCATCTTGGGAGGTACTCTCGCTCCCGCCCAGGAAATCTAGCACCCGACAGCAGACGCATAACATTACGCAGCTGGTATTGGCAACAAATTCAGTTATTAATGAAGTTCAGCTCCAAGCCAGAGCATCAGCGGCACAAAGAATGGTTCCAACTCACTCGCGAAGAGAATGGCCAGCAGTGGAGGAAGCTTTGCGACTTGGCGAAGCAAGACCTCCGAGGGCGATTCAGGTCGGCACGCCCGCCAGAAGCCGACCGCCCGCCCGAGGAGAGGCCATCTCTCGCGGCGAAGGCCCCAGAAGTGGGTGCAGCGCACGCAGGCACTTTGAGAGTTTGTCCGAAGTGCAAAGGTTACATCCCGTGCAATGGGTATCCCAAGCACGTGCGTTTCTGCACTGGTACGCTTCGTCCAGACCGTCAGCGATTCATATTCAACGCCTCGGCCCGCACAAAATGTGGACCCCTTGTGCATCGAGCTTCGTGCGATCCCCATGTTGCCAGATGTCGAGGGGTGGTATCTCCACGGCGTCCTGCTGCTGCTCCTGCCCCACCCCCTTCCCCAGTATCGATTATCCGGCGTCGTCTTCGAGGAAAGCAGGTGGTGGAGGCCCCGAGGAGGACTCGGATGCGTTCGAAATCGGCTTCGACGGTATACCCTCCTCCGCAAGCCCCTGCAGCCCCGGTTCTGATCCAAGAAGCCCCCCCCGCCCATTCCCGTCAAGAACCGTCGCGCAAGCTACAGCAAGCACAAGCCAAAGCAAAACGGGCCCCTCGAAAGACAGTGAGCAAATCTGGTTATGCTTATACGTGCAGGTACTGTGGGCAGTTAGCAAGTGATGCAAATCATATATACGATTGTCCCAAAGCCCCGTGGGATGTGTGATTGAAAGGTGTTCAGCAGCGTATCAAAAGACTGGACAAACAACGGGCCCCCCGAACAGATAGCCTCATGGACTTTCCAGTGCAAGTATTGCAATATCAAATTTCCCGATCAATGTAATTTCGCCAAACACTTCAATTCTTTACGCTTCGCGTATCCCCACCAGCCCATCTCACAGCAGCAACTCTTGCGATGCATGCCGACAGTCGTGTTTTTCAGGCGTGCGTCCGCTTGGGCCCGCATATCTCCCCTGTTCCTCCTTCCCCCCGCCTCCTTGCACATCCTCCTTGTGGGGGGAGCGGGAGAAGGGCGAGGCGGAGGAGGAGGGGGAGAAAGCGCTCCTCGTGATTTGAGTCGTTTGGGGTTTCTCGTCCTGGTGTGAGTCGTTCGGGCCCTTCTTCCTGGTGTGAGTCGTTCGGGCTCTTCGTGGTGTGAGTCGTTCGGGCTCTTCGTCCTGGTGTGAGTCGTTCGGGCTTCTCGTGGTGTGAGTTGTTCGGGCCCCTCATCCTGGTGTGAGTCGTTCGGGCCCCTCCTCCTGGTGTGACTCGTTCGGGCTCCTCGTGGTGTGAGTCGTTCGGGGCCCGCGTCGTGGTGTGAGTCGTTCGGGCTCCTCGTGGTGTGAGTCGTTCGGGCGCCTCGTCCTGGTGTGAGTCGTTCGGGCCCCTCCTTGTGGTGTGAGTCGTTCGGG